ATAGGTTCTAAAAACGGTATCAGTCCGTTCCAAGTCGGGTAACGATGAGAGCGCGATTTTACTAATCAATGTCACCGCGGAACCAGTATCCAATTCAAATAAAACAGGTTCGTTATTAACATGAAGCGTGATCCTATATGGAGACACTTTCGTCATAACTGAGCAGTTTGAAATTATATGATTCATAAAATTTAGCTGGGAATCTGGGCACTCACCGTCGTCGGAGTTCGATGATTTGATCAAGACTTGTGACCGTGGGGAACGGCAAACACGTGCCAGGTGGCCAAGTTTGCCGCAATTTCTGCACTTTGTGCGAGTATGAGGACACTGGGTGGGAGAAGTGTGCTGATCCCCGCATCGGTAGCAGACGAAATTCCGTACCCTGTTCTCAGAGGATAACCGTGGTGACAGTTTAGTTTTCACATTTCACAGGCTGAGGAGGGTTGAAGGTGGATAGTTGGGATTTTAGATTTTCCCTTTGACGTACAAGGTTACACGCCATTTCCCAGGAAAGGGTTTCTTCCTCCTGTGACAATAATTTTTCCCTCGCACCATCATCTGTAACTCCACCAATTAGGCACTGGATTTTCATGACTTCTTCAAACCGACTTGAGGGAATGCTATTGTACCGGCATTCCGGTGTAGCTTGATGAATGCGGGCAATGAAATCATTTACACTTTCTCCGCATCGTTGCTGTAGCTTGAAAAACTGATAACGAGCGGAAAACACACTTTGCTGGATTCCCCACAATTCCTCAAACAACTGGTCTTAGCCATCAAGTTCATAGCGTCAAAATGACGTTGTCCTTCTGATCCAAAGACTTGGCGAATAACATAATCCAATGGGTATCGGATAACACGATAGAGGGGTTTAACACAGGAAGGAGAGTCATTTGATGTTGGAAAGATGCTTTCCACTGTATCCACGACTGTAGAGAGGCTTTTCTGCACCATCAGGACACAGACATGGCAGTCCCGCAAGAGGGCTCGTGGCAACCGTGGCCATTCTGATAAGTATTACTCGAGTATTGTTGGATCGCACCTGGACCCTTAGTCCGCGCAAGAAGTGAATAAGAATACACACCGGGTGGTACGTGTCAAAAACTGTAATAGTTAGCTTGTAGGTTACACCAGATGAATAAGTCGAAAAGGAACCAATCAGCACAAGGAGAAAGAGTGGGTGAATCAGCTATCGGTCAATCGATTTGTATGTGCCTGTGTTTGCTCAGCGGTTTAGCGGGCGACACACATGTAACACCATGGATTTGTACCCCATCAGCTTCGTGCCAACGATAAGCTGATGGTTGTTCCACACTCGGTACTCTAGCTTCCCGAATGCCGCCGCTGCCGTCGACACGCGGATACGAAGCTCACTGAGTAGCTGCTGATCAGTCGACATCACTCTCCCAAGGTGGCGAAAGCGGGAGGTGGTTTCCAATACTTCAGCACGAATGCTTCTTCGTGACAATATTGAAGATTGCACCTCCGGGGAAGGCTGAAAGAGACAGACAGTTTTGCTTGTGTTGATGGTGAGCCCGAAATTGGCCGCCGTCGAAGCCAGAACACTTGTCATGTGCTGCAACTCATCCGCGCTGTGCGAAAAAACAAACAGTCGTCAGCGCACAGCAAAATACGGATAGTTGTCTCAGAGACTAGGGTTCTCGCACCGAAACGACGGATGTTCAGCAACCCACCATCAATACGGTGATCCACACGAACATCGTAAGCACAAGTAGCATCAAAAGCACAGGACAACATTGCATAAAGGTATATATTAAACAGGGCAGAAGCTAAGACACAGCCTTGCTTCACACCAGAGAAAACTGCAACGTCACCCGAGCTCACTTCACTCAGCTGCACCCTCGCTCGCAGACATTCAATTAAACTTACAAAATTACGCCGGCAACCAAACTTACTCAACACCAGCCACAATGCGTCGCGGTTCACCGTGTCAAATGCCATGGTGAAATTAACAAGAGGCGAGTACAACGGCTGGTGTTGTTCTCCACATTTCTACTGTAACTGACGAGCCGCAAACAACATAGCTATAGTGCTGCGACCCGAACGGAATGCACATTGTTCTTCCGCCACGTTAGGTTCCACCACCTGACTGACGAGGCGGTTGAGCAGGATTCGAGCAATCACCATGCCCACACAACTCAGCTAGTTGATGCCACGATAATTCTTGCCACATTGCTTGCTCCCTTTACCCTGGTACAGTGGTAGCACAAGGGCATCCTTCAGCTCAGCAGGCACCTCCTCCTCAATCCATACACGTTGCACCAAGTGGTGCAGCGCAGTCAACAACGCGGGTCCGCCGTGTTTCAATACTTCAGGCGGGATCCCGTCGGCCCCAGCACATTTGCGATTTTGCAGCTGAGCAAGTGCTCTCTGCGTCTCATCCAGGGTTGGCGTGACCGCGAGACTCGACTTCGCGTCTTGCTGCTTCAGGCAGTTCAATGCAGGCTAGTCGATCTCTGAACGGTTGTTCAAGAGACAGTCAGAGTGTTTTCGCCAGATCTGCATTATGTCTGCAGTCTGGGTGCAGGTAGCGCCTGAACTACCATCGATCAGTGTCCTCAGCGGCCCCGATCTCGGTCCATACACCACCTTCAAGGAGTCAAAGAATTCCTTGTGTTGGCGGCGTTCGGCGTAGCATTCCATCTGCTTCGCCTTCTCCGTCCACCATGCATTTTTAATGCTAAGGAGCTCTCGGGTCAGTCGCCGTCGAAGTTTGCGAAACTGATTGCTCTTTCCCAAGTCACTGTGGTCTGCAACACGTGCAGCAAATGCTGCATTCTTCTCCGACACCGATGCACCAATCGTCGATTGTTCTCATCAAACCAATCAGGCCGCTTACATTTTGCGCGCCTGATGGTCTCCTCGGCAGCAGCTATCACCTGATCGCGAATGTGGTGCCACAGGTCGCCCACTGTGGCTATGCAGTCCACATCACACAGACGTGCAGCCATCGCCTTCTCCAGCTCAATACGTTTCGCCACAGTACCGAGAGAGAGAATGATAAATTCACCCCGATTCACGGCGGGAGTGTAATACATAGATTTAAGAAAATATATACCGTTTAGTTCGCAACAATTTGTGATCAGTGCCACACTCAGCTCCACGCAGTACACGTGTCATGCGCACTTCACACATATCACGCTGACGTTCGATGACATAGTCCAGCAGGTGAGCGTGACCACTCGTGAGTGCGTCCAAGTTGCTATATCACTCGCACTCAGTGCAAACCAAATGTTCTTGATCGTCAGGCTGCGAGTGGCACACAGTGAGAGCAGCCTGTCACCGTTAGCATTTGCTGAACCAATGCCATGCGGACCGATAACATATGTCCACACCGATGCATCAAGCCAAACGCGCGCGTTGAAATCACCCATCAGAAATAGTCGGTCGCTCCTCGGCATAGGCCGTATCACGGAGGATAACTGAGTGTCATCTAGATAACACATAGTCAGACCGTACGTGCTTATAAAAGTAGCAAACTTACCTCTTCCGGGTCGTAGGCGAACAGTCATCAGTCGCGCGCTGATGCCTGTTGGTTCACCCACCAGCAGGCCATGAAGGCGATCGGATATTGCAAATCCGACCCCATGATCACGTGCTGCTGAGGCGGCGTTGCCCACCCAGTAGAATGAGTAGTCTACCCCTGCTTCATGCAACTTACCTTGCTCAGCAAGCCGGGTTTCACTGAGCGCCTCAATATCGATGTTGTAGCGCGCCAGTTCCATTGCGACAAGTGCAATGCGTCGCTCCGGTCGCTCGCTGGAGTTCCGGTCCAGTAGCATGCGCATGTTCCAGCACCCGATGCTGAGTGCTTTGCGCGCAGGCATACGATTGCATTGGTGGGCAACCGCACGCGATGTGGTCGTTGATCTTCGGTGGTTTGTTTGAGGGACTCCACCCGCAGCCTTTGGCTCAATAGCCTGACCCACAAGGCAGTGAGGAGCAGATCCAGCTCGGGAATGTGATTGCAGAGACGGATTAGGATCTGCTTGACGGCCATCACACGCAGCCTTGGAGGTACTGGAAAGATTTATATATGTTTTGCGACCGTAACAGGATACGCACCTGCGACCACGGCCAGACGCAGGTGGGTTTTGGCGGGTTTGCACCAACTTGACCAGAAGCTGTTTAGGTTGAGGCGGGCAGTAGCAAACCATTGAACACCCGGAGGTGTCCTCGCACCGTCAGAGAAAATACGTGGCACTCGTGCTCTACGCCAATCGAGCTGTGAGCTTATAACCCGTAGACCTGTTGTCTCCCATGGCTAGGTTTTGAGGGAAGAGGGCCATCGACCAATTTCTAAACTCCGAAGAGGATGGACTAGGATACTGGCAGGGCGCCCACACCTGACAGGATAGCGACTCGGGTCCTCATCCAAAGCCTTCGATTAAATGTACACTCGAAAGAAAGCAGGTCTAGCACATGGTCAGTTAACTGACTCATGCGGATTGGTGTCCTGGATCTCAGCAGGGGAAGGGGGTAACCCAACTCCCACCCAGCGGTCGCCACGAGGAGGCGCCCAGGACATGAGCAAATGGCACAACAATGGCAGCAGTGGGTAGACCATCTGTCAGGATCTAGCCACCACCAGCCTCAGCGCATCATAGGCTCTCCCACTTCATATATATATATACATATATATATATATATATGTAATACATGTAGTACATCAAGTATGCCTGTTCCAATGTTGCTAGTCGTTCACGTTCAGTTCCCACCTACAATGTTATTATTCATCAGCGTATCTGCTAAGTAAACTATCAAACGAACAACTCACCTATCTTTTGATAATTGTAGTTTTACCCCCACCATCCTGCGGGACTTGTCATACAACTACTTTTTTACTCTGGATAAATGATTTTTCCTTGTTCATTATTCTCACAACGAGGGGTTAATCGTCCTCTGGTAAAATGTGTAGCTTCACTTCTGCTGTGCGTCTAGTTCGCTTCAACCCACACGGTTTAATAATTTGTTTACAGGCACAAAATATGTATTTACCGGAGTCCGTGGGTGTCAAGTACTTGGCGCTAGACCAGGTCCCATGTCAAGACGATGCATCCAGCATGTTCCTTCAATATGTGGAAGAAAATTGTCCACCGTCGGATGATTGGTCGGAGACCGGATGGACTCTCACTCCGAGTCGAGCTGCAACTCTTGGATTTGCACTATTTTGGGTATTTTTCGCACTGCTTGCCTGCGCCCCAGCTGGTGTACTTTACCACATCCATTGCCGGTAAGTGTTCTACTACTTAATTTCTTCGCACCCGTTAACTACCAAACGTTTTTGAGCCATCTCCTACTATGCAACTGACAATATACAATGAATTTATACGGGTTAAGAAGTGCTGCTTTACAAGTCCCATTAGATAATTGGTAGGTATATCGAAATAAGAATGATGATGATATTAATAACAATACAACAGACTTTAAATATGAAAACGGCCGATTGTTTGTTCCGCTGTAGTCCTGCAATCCGCTTAAATTCACAGCGCCCACAGTTAGCGTCAAATAAATTCCATGTACCCTCCAGAAGTAGCGCTAAGTAGCAAAATTTACGTGGATGATTGCCTCACCCAACCGTCTTTTAAATACTGTTAATGTTGGTACAGAGAAGATTGATTCTGGGATAGCGTTTCACGGGTGACACACGAATGGAAAAGAAATTCCTGCTGCACTCCAGACGGCTATACTGTCTTGTGGGTTTCCATGAATGATGTCTCAGGTTTGTATTGCTGCTGAGTTGCAGCAAGGAGGGGCGCACATTATGTTGGTCGTGAAGAATCAAGTATGCCATTATCAGATCGCCTCGTACTCCGCGACACCGTCCGCTCTATACTCCCAATCGTTGCAGCACCACCTCGTATGAAAGATTGTCCATTCCCATTACATGCTTAGATGCCCTAAGTTGTGGCTGCTTCAGTGCGTTAAGGCCGTGTTTTAACCATGGTTGCCAAGCTTGAATTGCGTTTTCGACATAGGGGTGAGCATACACACTGAGCATTTGTCGGAAAACAAGATGTCAGCTTGTAAAAATGCCTGTCGAAACAGCCTGAGGTCTTGGTTTCCAGTCTTCGAGGCCTTTTCGGATTGTGGGGAGCAACCCAACCCATCTTTAATCAGCACACCCAATTCGTATTCGACGGTTGAATGTTGCAGTACATTCGTTCCGAGTAGGCACGAGTAGTTTCTCTGATGTCCTATGAAGAGTACCTTGTATTCACTCACGTAGACATGCTGTAAATTTTGGGTTGACGATTGATGTCCCGTGAGTAGGTCACTCTGAAACAGATACTGGTCAGCATGTGCCCGAATCCTGCTCCAAAGCTTGATATTGTCGGTTAACATTAAAAGTTTGAAGTAATTGTCAGTGCAAAGTAATTAACAAGCACCAAAAACAGACGCGGGCCTAGAACTAAGCCATGCGGCACACCACACTTCACTTGTACGGGGTCCGGTAGAGAGCTCGGAACTCTGACCACCCATTGCCGTTGAAGTAGAAAGTTGCAAATCCAGCTTAGAAGAGGGTCGCGGATCTCGCAATACTGGAGCATGGATAGTAATATCCAATGGTCTATACAAGGCATACGTAACCTTTATCCAGCCGTGGCCTCTTTTCGAGCCTTTCCATTTCTCGTGCCCCCACTCTTGACCACCACAATTTAAGCAATGCGCAACGCCTAACAGACGCAAATATGTGAATTCCAGTGGTCATATTGGTATCTTTTGTTATGGTGGCTAAATTTTTAATGTTGGTATCATTGCCTTGTCCATAATAAATCTCTTTTTTTAATTTTATGCTTCAAACTAACGTGCATTTTGCGACAACAGCAAGTCACTTGTCTGTAATTACCCAAAACTCATTCTGAATACTTAAAATGGTAAATGACTGGCATGCACAATCAAGTCTTCATTCTTCAGCTAACCCATGACTGTAGTGCGAATTGGGAACTGTGAAAATTCCCGACGTCCGATGTTTTACGCATACACTTCCAGCAGTTTAAGAACTGGGATAATGGCTTCATTACTCGAGATGAGATTACTCAACTTGCCTTGTAGTTTGATTTAATAAGTTGAGTTTTTCAAAGACAGCAGCCTGAAACAACACATCTGGCTTAGTTGTTAACAGTTTTCTCCCATAATCAATTCCAGTAAGGAACGTGATGATGGTGCCCCAGAGTGCAACAAAATGGTGAGGCCAGGTGCCCTTTCAGAGTTATCTAACTTCCGTATGCAACAGTAGAATCTGGAAATCTACACGCTTCTTCTCACACAAATGTTTGAAAAGAGGATCTTGAAGAGGGTGCGATTTGATATAGTTGACTACTATTATGACAGGACAGTGAATCGTTTAAACGACCCAATTTCATAGCGACTAGGCGCTCTCGATGAATCACACAGTGTATTGTGAATAGAAGGAAAAACACTTTTGTAGTGGACAATAAATCCTTTATACAGTCCCACCTGTCACGGCAGCCACCTGTCTATTGTTATCACTTGTCTACAGTGGCCACCAAAATATCCACAAAGTTTTCTCCTATGAGTGTGTCCGTATGCATGAACCTGTCCATGGCGACCACCTGGTTGAGACGACCACTTTTTGTCGCTCTCTTGAGTGGTCGCCTTACACAGGTTTGACGAGAGTTATTGACAACCCCAAATATAGTATGGTCCTTTGTCTAAGTTTTGATTCTGCTGGTCAACAACATTTCATCCAGTAGTTCACTATTGAAGAAGGATTGGACATATATCACAAAAACAGCGTCGTTATCAGGTGAAGTATGTTTATCGAAGTGTAACGAGAATTTCCTGCACTGTAGTAAAGTAGTTAAAGTACTTTTTATGTCCTGGACCATCTCATCTATTCGCATAGATACAGTCGAATTGTTGAGTGAAGTGGCTTGAACTGATTCTTGTGGATTTATATTCATCAGGGGACGGTATTATTGATAACGACGGCGATATAATCTTTTCTCCAACATTATATGAACTGCAAACTTTGACAATCACCCTGCTGATTTTATAGGACGTCTTAAGTCCATTTACCTTGTTTGCACCGTCAGAAACCATTGTCTTTAAACTTGGTCTGTTTTCGAAAATATCCCGCAGCTCTCTGAAAAAATCCATAGACTTTCAGCTTTCGTCCTCATGAACACTATCCAAGTGATTTTTCAGTTTACTTGGTCACATACTTTCATTTGAAGTGTGTTTCGGCAAACTAAACACATAGGTAGAGTGAGGTTTTAAAGTGATGCGATAAATACAAATGACAGATGTTCCACCGAGTACTACCCTACACATGTTGTTTCTCGAGGAGTTTGTTTTTGAAATATCTCATTGTAACTTGCCAATCTATAACATGTATCTATCTACTGCTTTGCTTTTATGTTGCTTACATAGTTAAATCAATTGATTATAAACAACATTCGACGAGGCGAAACGTGCAGCTAGTATGAATGATTGGTGGCTCTAAATTTATTCTTGCTTGACAATCAGTGTATAAGATATTTGGTAAGCATACATCTAACATCCGTTGGTGGCTATCGTGTTAACATGTACAAATGTAGAAACACTGTTAGAGGCAACCCAAATGTGTCTTCTGAGGATGGCTTTAAACACACCATGCATAGATAAAATGAAAGAGAAAGTTAGTGAGAAAAACCCATGAAGAAAACAGATGGAACTCAGGAAATGAAAAGGCTCACTAGACATGCATACATTACAGGACATTTGGATCAACCAGTGACAACAGGTAAAATGAAGAACAAAAGAGACAAACATAAAAATGCTGCCTGATAATTCAAAAAACCGGAATAGAACAATCGACAACGAATTTAATAACGCACATCAGCTATTGCCAAACATGTTGCCCAATGTGTGCTAGCAAGATATTTGATTAGTATGAGCAGTAGGAGAAGTATACTTAGGTACTCAATATGTTACATATACTCACCAAATAAACCGGAGGTGCACAAATATGATGTAAATTGACGAAATTGCTCGTTACGTTGAAAACTTCTGCTGTACTGAATGTTAAGAAAGCACTGTAACTAGCGTAGAGTAGCCACTCGAATTCGGAACGTTGCCAGCTGACGTGATCTAGTCGCCAGAGGTACATGCGAGCTGAAACTTGAGACGAAAAGCGTCTAACTCGGCGCTGCCGCACTGAGACTGGTACATGGTTTGTCGCACAGTGGTAGTGTCCTGAGAAATACTCCGTTTGTGTCAGCATAGCTTTGTGCGGTATCTGCCGCAGTGTGTTCTGACGAGAGTTCTCTAGGTTCACTGCAGCTTACACAGTAGGTGTAACGGTGTCCTCAAAGTCCTAAGGACGGCTCGGTTCTTATTTGCGTAGTCTTAGTCTCCGTATGATGATTTTCTGTCTGAGGTGAGCCCGCCGAAATCTGCGCAAGTTTCTCGGAACTATGTCAGCTCAACAACAGAAAGTCTGCGCAGTCTAGCTTTTACACCTTCGCAAACAGCCATTTGTACACGTGTAACTCATTTCACTGACCGGTAGTTACCAGGGCAGATTGGAGCGTGAAGAAAAAGCATCAGAAAATGCTTTAATGGATTTTGTTACTTGTGTTATCACCAAACACTTTCACAGGATGGCCTCAAATAGCTCCCATTGCCTCCCTAAAAGATTTTCTCATCCCATGCCCCCGAGAGTTCTTTATAATCCCATGGGAGCCATATGGCTCCCGTGGAGAATGGCTAGTCTAGACGATCGACATCCATTGAAAAGCTAGGTAGATCACATCATCGTCTTCTCTAGCGTCAGCTGACTCGGTCCGACTACTGCTTGTGATAAGTAGATTCGTTGTGTATGATCGCTGTCAATGGAATCCGTGTTGCTCGAGCATTCTGCATGGCTTCAAACTCCGAAGCTTCTTTCTGTCTGAGGATGTTTTTCCACTAGGTTCCCTATGGTGCTCGAAGCAGAAGAATTACGCTAGCCCACTAAGCTTGTAAAGCTGATCATAGTGCACTGCAATAAATTGCTAAAGATAGCTGCATCGAGAACGTTCTAAACACTGCAACCATGCACCGTCTGGTCAAAAAATATGATAAACCTATAGCCTCAAGAAGCACTTCTCAAACGCGTCAAAATTGACAAGAATATTGTTAGTCTTGCTTGGATTATCCGTTGTGCGGATGAATTCTGATTCACCAGTGCTGTATCCGGGTCCCACGACTGCTTCCATCTACTAACATTAGTCAGAACACGAACTAGTAGGAACAGAATCCGAAGATATTTTCACCGGAAAACAACACTGTTTACATAGCTAGACGGGTGGTTTTAAAATCCAACCAGGTCGCTGAAAGCGCACGACCAGACAAATACACTAAAGACTGAGCAAATGGAGACCAATCAAAATGCACACAAATAACAAAAAGTGGTACCGTTAAGGTTAAAGTGGAACTTTGATCTGCACCCAAAAACAATGGCCGTAAACAACCAATGGGGCTGACGAAATGACACATTAACACATGCTTAAGTGAATAAGCAAAACAAAAGAACCAGCTCGATTATATACGTTTAAATAGGTATGTCTGCTTTAGTATCCCTCTACTAATAACAACCTCCATTAAAACAACGGTTCATTCGAACACGGACATCAGTTATTTTGGTTAGTAGGAGCGGGCCTTTATAGGACACACAACCTACTCACCCAACAAGGCATGCTGAAGCAGTAATTCAACCGCGGCGCAGCACAAGTCAGTTAGCATGTTAGAGACAAAATGTTATTGAATACACTGAGAAGCACACAAGACTTTTAGGTTAAGTATAAGGGCGCCACCCTAGCTTACCTCTTTCTTGATATTTAAATTAATTGATGTTAACACAACCATTCAGGCATTGACGCTGAGTAAAATGGACAAATCCGTAGCTGATTAGTCAGTAAGCGATGTCACATGACCCTGATTCTGAGCTACTGTTTGTTGCATTGGAGGAGATTACGAAACACACGTTACATGAGTATATTGTGATGGACAGTCCAACTTTGGACCGTGATTCACGCGATCAACCAGATCATTTATATTGTATCTGGAGGAAATAAAAGCCGCGTATCGTGCGCTTCAGATACTGCCCAGTGGCCTAACTGATCATGAGTTAATTCAAAGTAAACTATGGTTCAGACTGAGATTGCTTGTGGCAATTTAGAATATGCGGTCGGTGAGACAATATGGATTTAAGTGATGAAGCAAGCAGCTAAATTGCCGCAAACGAAAGGAGCAGATAATTGGGCGTCTTCAAGTTTATGCTGATTGGTTACTGTTTAGCTATGCTGAATTGTGTTTGTTCGATCGAAGCAAAGAGAGTCTCAGAAATGCAGTAGCCTTGTTCATGATGGATGCGGCCTCCAGACTAGTTATGCTGCCATTTTCGCCAAAGTCAAATCGTTGAATAAACTGTTTGGATCTGAAGGACCGAGTTCGGTGACAACAATCCAATCACCGGACGAGTATTTCAAGATGTCCCATCACTGAACTACTAAACAATGCGGCAAATTTTGCATTCCACAACTCGGTGATTTAAGGGTAAGCGCCTCGGCTGGTTTTTTACAGCTTGTCATGGAGTTCAAGTTTGCGATCAGGTAGCCTCCAGTATTAGTTGGTCACGTGTTTTCGGTCCCTGGGGTGCAGTATTTGAACGACTCACTACGAGATGCAAATTTGTTGCTCCCCATAATTGGGAGGATAGTGAAATAAGTATATCGATTAACAACTCAAGGTTTATTTTGAATTGACTGTTGTTATGAATTATGTATTACACTCGCTCCCCTTCACAATAATGCATAGTTGATATTCCCTATTCCATACACTTCTACTTAACCATATTTTGAAGCGATCAGAACATTAATTGGCTGCTTGTTTTCTTGCACTAATTGCGTGCACCGTGTAGTCTTCGCGGCAACTAAATCATGTCATATAATTCCCAGTTGTGTTGCTCTTCGAATAGAAGTAAAGACATAAATTAATGGTATATACCTCGGTGATGCGAGGCACAGTCCAACTTGGCGGTCTGATCAAGTGTGCGTTCGATGTCATTGTTGCCGCTACTTTTCAGAACTACAGTTGATCAAACAGGGACAAGTGGATGTTTCGGTACAGACATCTAGGTAACATTTATTGCGCGATGGACCCATAGGATTCCTCGATACGTATGGTTCGAACTATTCTATGATCTCGAACCCGCAACTGGACTGTTACGAGTCTGTGGTTGCGACCACTGAGCTACAGGGAACGGCAACTACCGTTGTGACAAAGTTACTAAATGTGATGTTCAATATTCACTGACTTGCAGTCGAGTTGCAGTTTTGAACTTTACAGGAGTCCGATGGAGTGCACACGGCTGACGATTCCCGAAAGGATGCAAAGTCTTACAATGCTTTTCCGGGCGAATAATGGATGTCTGACTGAGTAAGGATGGAATAAATTTCTTCCTATACCATTCAACTCCCCCTATTAAATTTTTGTAATTCAAATCTGTCGTAACGCTGCCCTTTCTCTGCTCTCTGCCTAGTGAGCAGCCCATCTACCCAGGGAAAACAAGGGACAAAATTCGAATGACCGGTGTATTTTAAGGACAGAGCATGCTTACCTTTATAGGTCGTTTGCCCTCACCGCCAACCGTACGTTGCCGGGTCAATTGACGTCACCTACCTACTCACGTCCAAACGTGCTCGTGATCTGCAGTGCATCAGATAAACCTGTGTCCGGGTAACGAACAGACTTCGTCGGGTGCCCTGCTCCGTGTGAGAACCTGTGTCGCGGATGAGGAATTGATTTCATCAACTTTCCAATTCGCGTCTCGAAACAGTGTCACGGCGTTTGTCCGTTGAGGTAGCCTAAATTAAAAGCGTCCCTCTCCAATGAATTAAATCAGGGAGATCTCACCTAAGAGCATGTAAACAGCAGCCAAGCAGGGGCAATCGGACACACACATTTTGGCGGGAACGGGTTTGGCGACTGCGGCTCAGAGGCACAAATGAGCTCATCAAGAGAATTAATAAGAACAATGAGCAAACTGAAAAACAACTATAATACAAATGAAACCGTGGTAAAAAAAATGAATAAAAACCAAAGCATGCATATTGCGTTGCTTGAGATGCATGAATCGGTGAAGAGGGTTCACGCCGAAAAGATATTTCTTTGCAGCTGCGTTTTTTAAAATAGATTTTGATCGAAGCCTGACTTGTGTTCTGCTTTCTCGGAGGGTTGCGCGACGCTGTTCTCTAATGTACCTACCTGGATAGTCCGCAGTGTTAGTCGCGACCAACGCTGACACCCCATGATCACTTTCGTCCACCTTTGGACTCATCAGGGAGAGATCACTTGAGCTAGGAGTGAAAACCAGCGCAAGATGGTTAACAGCTGACCCGTTGATCACTGGGCCACTGAGATCCGTAAACAATGCTCAGCCGAGTGAGTAGGAATTCTACTTTGGTTTTTAGGATTCGTCTCATTGCTGCTGGATGACGACTTGCACTCTACTGGTGCATCTGTTCAACCTGAAGTATACTTCGGTCATTCGGACCACCAGGATGGGATCTGATGAGAAAGGTTTTAGTGCTGATCCTAGTGTTGTCCACGGTCAACTTTGTTTCCGTTTCTCTATTTGTCTTCTGCCCATGGTTACCTACGCTCTCAACAAGCGAACCTCAGTTTTCCCCCAAAACCCTACAACAAAATATTCAATCACTACCGACGCATAAAGCCTACTTCTGACTTGACTTGAAAATAGTCCGATTAATCGATAGTATTGTCTTTCGGATAAAGTGCCGATCTCGTTCACCACATGGTGCTATCATCATTTTGTCCTCATTGACCAGCTCACCTGATCAAAACTTGGAATCCCTACACTATCTTCTGTCTCTTTTGTAGAAAACTAAAGCAAAGTTTGATTCAGGGGCAACTTCAGCAACCTTCCCAGGGACTGTTCATCATCTGCCCCCGACATGCGAGAAGTTGGTGCCGAAAAGTTATCATCCCCTGCCTGGAGGCAGATCTGTTCTCCAATTCCAGACCACGATTACGGAACGCTAAATTCGAGTCCGCTGGACAGAACCGTACAAAACAACGGAACCAACATGGAGCTGCACCCACAGATAGTCCCCATCAAAAAGCCGCGAAATCCGGACTGCCAAAGCGTAAGAATGTGGTCAGTCCGGCGGAATCGGAAGGCGCAACTGTATTGAACAATGCAGAAACTTCGACTACACCAAAGCCGACAGGTCCGTGGGCTTGGCAACCAAAGTTTCACTGCCACTTGGCACCCCCAGCGCGGCACCGTTTGCAACAAATGATGGAATCCAAGTATGTGTTAATCATCTTTCCAAGTACTAGTCTTTTCACGGAACCTGCGTGTCGGGCTCAGTTGCGTTTGGCATTTCATTTGACTCGATTACATCGGATACCTCCTCCGGCCATTCTGTTATGGCCCATGTCAAAATCGAAAAGCAAGATAGCCGGGGACTATCGATCGGTGAACCGAAACACAAATCTTCTTGATCAAGACAAGTATTATCCGACGCCGGAATTCAACACGGTAACTAACGATCCGGAGGACGTTGCTGAAACAGCTACCATCAAAGCTAAGGTGCCAACACGCGAAGAGGCTGTGCAACTCCTGCAGTATTTTTCCACTACCACCAGCCCTTGCATTGAATGGAACAACTCCAAAACGGCCAGTGCCAACCTAAAACCACTTGTTTGGTTGACTAATAAGCAATCGAGGATTGCAGCCTATTGACTGATCGTGTGTAGGTTGCATAACACCCGATGCTTCATGTATATCTTTTCGAACTCCTCCGAGTTATGCACGCAAGGTCTATATCACTTGCACCAGCATATTGCTTGCAGTGTATAAAGTGTGTCTCTGTCTCAACGTGATAATTCATCTGTCCCCATTCCCTAGAAATCGGATTCAATTAGTGACAAGGTCCGGAATCCATAGATCTTGCGTTAAAAAGTTGCAGTTAATGGGTAGGGAGTGGGATGCTCCCCAAGTTGAAATGACAGATAAAGTAATTCACAAGGTTTTCCACTACAGGCATAAGATTGCATAGAAGATTTGCCGCTTGTCCTATGTTTACCACAGGACCCTCCAATTGAGCCATGTGCTGTCTATTCTCCAGCATAACTGACTCCAAACATTAGACACGTCCTAAATAAGTAGTCGGATATTTCGTCACATAACTGTGAAGCGCGATAGCTGGGCTATATCAGGTAGCCACTGCCTCGGAAATAATTCCTGCCCCCTTAGTACTTCGTGCTTCCTGAACACAGCCGGCTTGACCGCTTAGCTTCCTATAGTTTTCTCTGTTCCTCCCCATCAAATGCGCATGGCACGGAGTTGGCCACAGGATTAACGATTTTCCACACCAGCGACCTATCAATGGCATTATTTTCTAGTTGAATAGCTACTGATAATAAATGAGCAACATGTAGTTTTACTCTCAATAGCGGTGGGAAGTGCGCCGAGAAAATAGCAATCAGTCGCTTATCTGGGGCGGATGGCACACTTCTCGGTGATGCGGTGGAAATAAGCACTGCTTTATAAGTGGATGTTTCTCAAAATCGATTCATTTGGAATTGCATGGACAAAGCAGTGCAGCGAAGTTTGAAAGTACGTTGAGGCCGGCATGTGCAGTTCGTATGTCCTAGTCAGTCAAGCTTTAATGGATCCCCGCTGGGGTCACATGCATCTCTGTGAGATTCGAAGTTAATAGCTTCCGTGGAATTTTGAACTGCCAATACGCAAGTACCAAGATGTTACTGTACCAAGAAGTGGTTGTCAAGCCCAACCTTTTACTATTTAGCAGAAGAGCCTTTACAATGTGGCCATCTGGACAACCGTTATGGGTTGTCATCACAAAAGGGCGATTGAATAGAACTAAGAATGATCTAGGCATGCCTCTGCTATGCGGCACTACGTGACCAAGATACAAAGCAAAGCTACCGTAGTTTCTTCGATTCTGTTCCACCTACTGATCAGACCAACTAATTGGACTGTACCTCGTACAGCCGATAAATATATACTTTGAAATTTAGAAATTATGGACTGTCTTAAGTGCTGCTGCAATGCGCTGATGAATCCATACAAATTAGCAATAGTGAAAACAAATAAGTATTGTAGTATATCATTCTTCACCGTTGGATATCGACCTCGGAAGCGGTCACATGAGTGCTTTGATAAACGTTTGGATACTATCTGCGAATGCTGTGATATATTCTGGTGAAGATTGCTTTTCCCGACAACGATCTCATTGTTTTACTGATTTGTTCAGGTTTTCTGCTCATTTACATCCATATTTTGTCGTTAGCATTGTTGCATCATGTTTACAAGGATGACTTGACTTATCATCCGTTTGTACCTGATCCATAAGTACGTAACTAAGCCACTCATACCTGAGATCATTTCTGATGCTCCTACAGCTGCTTGACTGCCATCTGATGAGTACCGCAGGGCTCTGCTGCTCCTGCTGCAACGGCGACGGTCCCCAGAGGAATGCTGCTTGGCAGCCAGTTGTGTCAAACCTGCACTGAATCGGAATCGACGGAGCTGACAAGGGTCTGCCTTCCTGCCCTCTGCACACCAATGAACCATTGAACTTGCTATGTCCACAAAGGCAGCAAAAAAGCGAAGGGAATACCGCTGTATGAACAGTACCACCGCACAATAGTATGTTGCAATAAAGTTGGCTTGGTGTCAGCTGTCGTTCCAGCGAGTGATTCGACGACTGTGTTCCAGAAGGTGATGGGTTTTCGCCTAGTAAGCGTTCTCCCTATAAAAAGCCATAGATGACCGTTTAACAACACTGCGACGTGGCGGATGTGACTGGCCAGTAAATAAAGTCACAACCTCTTGTTTCACTCCAGTGGAGCATGGTAAACCAGCTTCCAGATGCTGTCGTCGTGGAGAGGATTGGGCTCCTGTTTGGTACTTTTCCAAGCGAAAGGCGTATGAACTGAGCAAGCAGTCACCGGCTCCCAATGGGTGCGATTCCCTGAATTCGCCCCTTTGCGTTGCGGAGGGGCTATTGAGCCAAATGCTCCGGGTGGTGGCGCCATGTGGCAACTCCCTACTTCGGTCCAGACAACCGGACAGTATCTCAGCTATTGATGAACCAGGGAACTAAATTGTACGCTTCGCTCTACTGAAGCTTTACTATCATGCTACTAGTGCAAACACTCTTCCATCACACGCCACTCATTTAGCTTCTCTTCCCCTTTATCATACTTCCCCGTTTTGCTCTGATCACGCAACAGTGAACAGCATTGCTTCCTCCGATATCACAGTTACCGCTCCATCCTCTGACATTATCACACAGGGCTAAACCTGGATTGAGCAGCCCCAGGTTCTCCCCTCTCCGCTTCTGCAACCGAAGACAGTTCAACTTGGCGGCGTTCAAAGTGCGCGTCTTAAAACAGATTGAGCAACAAGTTAGTCTCGAGCGCACTCTAGAAACTCTTACAATTGATGTCTGTTGTTTGGCCAAAACACTTTCGGACTCCAGCAAAATCTACCCATTGTCGTCACCACATCACTATCATACCCGTTTTCACTTTCGAATTGCTGAAGACGCCGAGGCTACTGCTTCAGGACAAACTGGTGTTGGGATCGTTATTAGCGCCAGAGCCGATGCCCCTCAACGTTGGTCACAGAATGACCCCATCGCGATAAGTCATCGCTGGCATGGTTGTATTCGGGACTGCACATCCTATTGGTCAACATACGTAGAAACTGAGCATGCGCTAGTACGTGCGTAGGTTTGTATGCGTTTCGGTGGCTCGTCTAGGACTAGACAAACTCGGCTTAACTCTGGTAAAATGGAAGACTCCGCCGTGCAATTGGAAGAGCAAAAGCAGCTCCATGAGATCCTCACTTCTCTGCCTTCTCGGGACGTTGATCAGCACTTGTCGCAATCGCAACAGATCATGCTTTCAGCCGGTCGATCCAGTTGCGGTCTTGTTCGTTGCGCAACTAAAAGGTGGATCTCGGCCATCTCCGCGGAACTTCTTGACAATCGGCGGGCTATACCCGTCAGTGTAGAGCAGTCTGAGATCCGCCGTTCTATTTCCAGACAACTGAAAGCGAGTCTTCGCCGTGACAGTGAATCCGGATGGTCTAAACAGGCCAAGGAAATGGAAGTTGCTGCCTCTGCTGGTCGCAGTCGCAGGCTGTTTTATCTCATCAGATCCACCGGACGCAAAGTTCAGGCTATCAGTCAGACCATCTGTGAGTCAGACGGTACCAAGATCAACAACAACCTACGCAGACGCCTGGATTGCTATGAAGAGCACTTTGCTCTCCAGTCTAATTTCCAAAAACGACCTCTAGTTTTGCCATCATGTGGTCCTTGGTCAGTTCGCATAGATCCTCCCACTGAAGCAGAAATATGGAGAAAATTGCAGGCTCTGAAACGCCACAAAGCTCCTGACCTTGACAGTCTTCCTCTGGGGGAATATAGTTTTCACCGAAATGCTATCACAGTTCACAAAAGTATGGAGCGATGAGAAGGTTCTTAACTCATAGGAAGAAACTGTTTTGGTCCCCATCCACAAGAAGGGCTCTCGTACTGAATGCACCAACTACCGAGGAATCTCACTTATCTCTGTCGCGTCCAAACTTTTTTGTGTCTATCCGCTGCGTAGTCTCTCTGTTACCGGCGAGAGTTTATGAATACTGAATACTGAATACTGTATTATAGAGCAAGTAGAAATGGATTCTGTACAACTCTTTCGAAATATTGTGAAAAACATTATAATAGTTGTCAACCGTGAATATCCTTGTCGTTCTCATGTAATATTTAAAATATTCGACTTACGATATTTCAGGATTCACAAATGTGATATGTCATCGTAAGTGTGCAGTCGTTCTCTGAATCGAATAGAGGCAAAATGCAAATCTAACAACGTTTTGAACTGTTGCACAGATGTTGCCTCAATCACATGTTCGGGCAAACTATTCCAAATGTTTACCACTCTCCGTTCGAAGCACAGTGGGTGGGGAACACGTTTCATATCCGGCACAACAAGTTTGTATCTGTGTCCGCGTGTGCTGCATGGCCCTCGTAAGTGCAGCATTGGCCTTAACATGGGGAACTCACCGAGATGTAGAATTCGGTAGGTCATAATGAGGTCGACTCGTACCCGACGGTAGGACAAGGTGTAGAGTCCTAGTTTCTCGCACCGGTCTTCATACCCAAAGCCACGTAAACTCGGGATGAGCCTGGTAGCAACGTGTTGGACCCGTTCGATCTTTTGTGCCTCACCTCGGGTAATCGGAAAGTAGGCGCGCGAACCGTACTCTAGCATTGGTCTAATGATAGAAGAGCACAGGCGAGTGGCAACCCCTTCAGACCATGTGCAGAAGCTACGTTTGAGCGCCCAAAGCATGCGCAGTCCGTTCCGATATAGCCTGTTCGTGTTGTCCACGGACTTCAAATCGTAGCGTGAGAGTAGACCTAGGTCCTTCACGGAGGATGTGGGATATAGCGTTTCGCCGTCAAGGGTGTAGGTTCGGCCGTCTGCACCCTTCCTCAGGCTCATAAACACCGACTTGGCTGGGTTGACCGGGAGAAGAACTTCTGCAGACCAAGTGGATAAGCGGTTGAGATCTTGCTGAAGTAGGCCACAGTCGTCGGGAGCGTCGATTTCTCTCCAAATCTTCATGTCGTCCGCAAACAAGGCACACGGCGACTGGAGACGCTGCGGTAGATCGTTGATGTGGATCAGGAACAAAGTGGGCCCCAGCACAGTGCCTTGAGGCACGCCACTTGCAGAGGGGTACCAGTCAGTTAGATGGTCGTCGACCTGTACCCTCCACTTTCGTCCAACAAGAAAGTCGCGGATCCACCGGTGCAGTGAGCCACCGACGCCACATGTCGTGAGGAACAGGCTGGCTTTCGTTCTGGCCGTGGTTGCATTGACCAAATTTTCACGTTGCGTCAAATTCGCGAACATCGTCATGTCCACCGAAGACCAACAATGATGGTGTTTTTTGATATCCGAGCCTCTTTTGTATC